ACGCATTTTTTTAGGAACGGATTTCGGGAACGGATTTCGGGAACGCATTTTTTTAGGAACGGATTTCGGGAACGCATTTTAAACGCTTTTATGCCTCATCCGGGATAGCACGATCTTTGCCCAAGCGGTTTTCATAATTCCAAGGAAAGTTCTGCTTTGAGCTGTCGCTCTTTAGTGTTTCGGATGTTTTCGTTATGCCATGACTCGTGATATGTTCAGCGACGGAAACAAGCCAAATCGTACTCATTTCTCCGGGCTGAGGCCTGTTCCACATACTGGCCATCATTGGCTCAGCGAAAGATGCTGCCCGCCAGACAGAATTCATGCGTTCGTTTCGTTCTCATCGTTTTCCCACGCAGTGCGATTCTGTGTCAGATGCGGAGGTTTACCTTGAAAAATTCGGGGCAGCCCCTCGGAATACCGTTGTGGAAGTGTGTTGCCACTGCATGTGGGAGTGCATACAGTGTGCCGTGTGTGCGTCGGCTGAAGTGCCGTGGCGTGGTTGAGCAAGTTCACTCCCAGCAGTGTTAGAGGCAGTGTTAGAGAATTACAGAAGCGAACGTTGTCACCGTGAAGATTTGCTGAGGATGCGACGATCATGGGTTTGCTTTTCTCCGTGATTTCTTTCTGGAGTCCGCTCACCGAATGCCTGGTGGGGCACTTGCAGGACAAGAGGCTTTCCCTCCAGCGTCTCCAGTGTCTCTGTCTTTCGGTCTTTCCTCTCACAACCCTATGGTTTGGGGGGAAGGGATGGTTTCGCAGGGCCCTGAGAGAGGCATCCATGACAAGAGGGCCAACAAAAAGGAGGGCCCACTTGGTCTTGTTTGAATTGGTCTTCCTCCAGGACCGCGAGGTGCTGAAGCGCTGTTTCCCAGTGGAGCGATGGGGTCGCCGAGCTCTTTCTTTGGCCACGCATTGCGTCATAGCAGCGGTGGCTGCCAGTGCTGTGCCCTGTCAGAATGCATTTTGTGATGCTTTCAAATTCAAGTCACAGGGAGCGGGGCCCTGCACTCCTTGAAGCTGCAAGGTGTACATGCCACCCAGCCCTGGTCTCAGTATTCTGTCATGTCTCTTCTCCACATGGCTTGCTCAGAACTCGTGTCTGCAGGTAACGCCACAGGTCCGTTGGAGGTCTGGTTCGCAACTTGGCCGCATAGGCCAAGGGCCGAAGCATGGTGCCTTTTGCTTTTTCAAAGCACGGCTATTTGCCGTGTACTTCGGCGGCTTTCGATGTTAATCACAGGTGCTCGTGCTCATGCTGTCCTACTGGGGAGCTTCTTCCTGCGTCATCGCCTTCGAAGCAGCCCGTCAGGCCTGCACCTACGGTCCAGTAATCATACTGAAGCTACCAGATTATCGGGGCCGAAATAGCTCCCATCGCGCTACTGTATGTTTTTTCTCTGACTATAAGGGAAGCCAGTACTCCGAGTGTCAGGAGATCTACCCTTTCAAGGAAGAGCGCATCGAACCAGTAGGAACTCACTGAAATGAGTGGAAATCAGAATCTGTTCTTGGTTGGTTGGCCGTTGTGAAATTGTTGGCCTTGGATTCAAAACTAATTTGCGCAAACGGGCGGTAGTTGGTAATCTCATCCTCTCGCAGTTAGGTTTTTGGCGGAGAGCTCCCACATTACACGCAGCTGATGCAGGACTTGACTGCAAGGAGGTGACAATCGAGCTTTATGTCGGATTGCATGATACTTCAGACGGTTCAGTGATAGCGCTTTAATGTTACGTCCGGGTCGAAGCTAGGAGAACGTCGGACAACTCGTGCAACGTCTTCCTTGCATTCTCGTTTCCGATCCTGTAGTCGTGAATGCCATTCTGAGCTGAGCGTCTTCGTCTACTGCAGGATGCGCGCGAAGAAGCAGTATCTAGGATTGAGGACAGCGGTCGGCCGAGTCTGGTGCAGGATGTGGAGACGACTCTATAGGATATGACTTGCTGCCCACGCCAACTCGGCTCTTATGTCACTGATATCCTTTCTCGACTAGTTACAGTAGACTCAGTTAGACTAGTTGTGCAGGACGAGGCTTCAAAGTTAGGTGCGAATGCCGCAGGGCCCCTGGCGTACGATGGCATCGATGGGCTTGCTTGTCGAACGTCGCTTAAAGACTCCTGCATGTTTGCAGTTGCGGTCCTGTGCTATGCATCTTCCACATAGGACTCTGTACAAATCATCACAGACGCGTTTGAGGTGATCAGCCTGCGCCTTTCGTCCACCAACATCGCCGTGAACACGCCTGGTCCGAGGCCGCGATCCGAAGACTTCGTCGGGCTGTTGGGGAGGTGGACTGAGGGCAGAGCTCGTTGAAAAGCCGCCATGGGTGAGACAAAAGAGAGAAGCATCGTGACTTCATGCCCTGCCTGTTTGAGTTGCCAGTTTCTGGCAGACCTTTCTAATCTTCCTCAGGTCGTTTGACATTTCGGTTGCCTTCAGAACGTGGCTGGGAGTCGTGCGCAGTGCATGAGTACAGCCGTGCGGGGTCACCGCGCATGGCTCCGAGTTGCCTAGCCTTAACCACTGGAACTAGGCGCTCCGCTATTGGTGCACCATCTGGGTGGGCCGGAGGTGACACTGCTCCTGGCGGACGATGATGAGGCCAGGCCGACCGCGGTGCTGTGGCGTTTGGCATCTCATCGTTCACCATGAGTTTAGGAAGGCGAGGTGGCAAAGTGCCCCCGAGAAAAGGCGTCGCATGGCTCAGAAGGCATGACAGGAGTCCGCACCACAATTTCCAGGGGGTCGAAGTATCAACCAATTTTGGAATCACTCCTGGCCCAGAACAGAAGGACGTTGAGCCTCTGGTGTTTTTTCAAACCCAGGCCCCGGGCCATGCAAGCATCTTTTGGAAGGACTTATTGGCTGTCGACTTGCAGGCCGAACCGGAGCCCGTCGGGCTGGACTGTCGGTGCTCCTATTTTGTTTTGCTTTAACTGGGGGTTTCCGAAATTAGGGGTACCTTATTTTGGGGTCCTTATAATAAGGATCCTATTATTTAGGGTGCTATATTAGGGTCCATTATTGTCGGAAACCCCCAATTAGCCGCCATGCATCTGGGAGCCCTTGATTGGCTGCCGGCTCTCTAGCACTTCATGCGGTTCCACTCTTCCCTGCGCTGATGCCCAGGCTCTCGGAAGGTGGGAACGGCTTTGCAGACATGTTTGCATCGATCCGTGTTGGCCGCTTCCCGAGCACAGGCATGAATTACAAGGGCCGGTCAGAGATCAGGTTCCACCCGCTCAATTCACAGATGCAGTGACATCTTTGATTTGGCAACTTGCCCAGATCAACTCTGTCAGCTCAGTCTTCCCAGCATGAGGTATGGGGATTGCCTGGGCTGATGAACGGTCGGAGGACCGAGGACAAGGAAAGCATCTTCGTGCAGATAATGCAGATGTTGTGTTGGCACTTGGCAGTACCCGCAGCTCCTGGTCGAAATCTGGCATTCCGAACTGCACCCCAGCATGGAGCAGGTCAGGCTTGTGGAAAAAGCTCACCTCTTGGATCCTGTTGGTCTTTGGGAGGTGCGCCGCATGTCACACATGGACCTGGAGGCCCTGGCAGCTGTTATCGGGCAGGTGCCTCGACACACACGGCCTTGCAGAGCCAGGGAGCTTTCCCGCCAGATTTCCCAGAAACATGATGAGCGGCGCGGAGAGGCTTGTGGCTTGGGAGCCTTCCTTCACAGAGGCTCTGTCTTGCTGGAGGCCACCTCTTGCGCAATGTGTCCAGCAGAACAGACTGTAGCTCACTCTAGGCCGGGTCGAAAATGCTGCCTAGTGGTGGTGGCAAGGGCCAGCCATGTGGCACTGATGGCAACTGGCGCTGCCAACAGCATGTGGACACCAAGTTCGAGGCCTGTAAGAAAGTGTCGTATTGATAGGGATCCTGCAAAATTGCATGGGAGGGCCTTACACACACCTTCTCGATCATGGGTGCTAAGAGCTGAAGTCTACACAAAACGAGAGAAGTAACTTGGTGGTTCAGTAGATAGTTTGTAGCCTATTTGGGTTTTGTATTATTACGCCTTTCACAGTTGAAAACACCACGGGCAGGGCGTGGAACTGAGGCTTAGACGTCCAGTAGCTCCAGCACGATGACATTTTGGTCAGACCTGGCACACATCTGGCCCGGAATGTAATTTGCACGAGTCTGAGCCTGAAAACAGAGAGCCGTGCCTGCCTTGTGCGAGTGTGCGAGTCGAACAGCAACCCGTACCTTGTACTTCTGACAGGGCAACAATTGGAAGCCCTACCGACTACTGCGCTGCTGGGACGGCAACCTCGAACATGACGAGTAGGAGGCTGCATAGTCGGTGCCGCTGGCTCAGGACATGAGCATGGTGGATGCTGCCCTTCCAGCTCCGACACCAGCACAACACCGAGCTGTGAAATTGCGAAAAGGTGTTTCTGAGAGATTCCAGCAGCCCGTTTTGAAGTATGGAGTTCCTGGGGCAGTGCGCCACTCTGCAATTTTGGCTCAAGCTGTAGATTAATGCAGATTTTCTGGCAGCGGCGCTGCTGCCGTTTAAAGTGCCACCGAAATGAAGCAAGTCGTGAATGCGTGGAGTGTCCTGCTGCTCTTTACCGGGGCTGTCGTCAGCCATGGAAGAAAAATTGTGCAGGACCACCACGCTGCGATTGAGACAGACGCAGACAAGGAGTTTGGTACGGCCACGCTTCAGCGATTTGAAGCGAAGGCCATGCAGTTGCTGGCTCACCTCGAAAGCAAGATCAACAGCGTCGATACTCACCGTGTTGAGCAGGATGCACCGCAGATCGTCACCATACCGCAAACTGCCACGCTTCCAGCACGCAACACATCGCATCCGATGGAAATGTTCGAAGGATGCAAGGCTTCGAGCCCTGTGGAGGCTTTGCTGCGGCGAACCAGCCAAGTGCACGAGGAAGAAACCCAGGAGGCTGTCAATGAGTCGACTTCGTTGGGTGCAAGGTGTGCACTGTACCAGATGCCAATGACGTACTATCGTTGGGATAGATCCACTGCAAGCAGTAGCTGCTGTGACAGCCGCAGCAAGGACTGCAGCGGATGTGAAAGGATGGGAAGCGGCAAATGCACCGTGCGCGAATCCGCTTTTGTCAAGCTCAAGGGAGACGACATGCACACCGCATGCATGGACATCGTCTGGGTGAATGGCAAAGGAAAGACGTGCCAGCAGTTGAGTTCTGCGGACTGCAACGACTTCCGATTCCAAGGCACCAGCAGCCGAGAAGCCTGCTGCAAGTGCGGAGGCGGTGTCAAGACGGCTACATCTTTCAAGTATGACGACCATGCGTACATTCTTGGTGAGCACGTGTCCATGTGGCCGCAGCCTCGCACGGCCACGCGCTACGGTCTCAACGAGAACTGCGAGTTTGCCATGTACAACTTGACGTTGAACGGTGCGACTGGCGAGGTGAGCTTCATCAAGGGCGCGGGGAAGCCAAAAGAACCTTTCAGAATCAGCTGCAAGGTCACGGCCTTCCAGCCGCATCACTTGTTCTTCACGGCCACCGTGACAGTGACGATGGCTGAGCTGTCGTATGGCCCTTCTCTACTGCTGTTCACGCCGAAGACGAAGAGCTACACCCTGCAGAAGTTTTCTCCACCCAAGAGCCACTGGAAGGACTTCCAGATGATGTGTGCGCCGGATGCAAAGTGGGTGACGATGGACAAAACGGGGGACTTGAAGCTCGCAGAGGCGAAAGAGACAGGTGCTGTGGACAGCGTCAAGGACGTCTACAAAGGCCAGACGGCGACGGTCTGCCATGTCTTTGGGCTGCTGCGAAAGAGCCCTACTGCAGAGTGGGAGAAGAAAGCCGTCGATTTTATCCTCGTCAAGCCGAAGCCCGCGAAGAAGTTGTCCTACTCTACGAGCCTCATCGCCAGCTCCATTTCGCAAGTGGTGCCGCCGGTTCTTCCGGTGCCCTTCAAGGAAGGCGACATGGCGCCGAATGCGTACACAATGCGCTGCGACAAGGCGGGCTTCACCTTCGACAGCATCCATGGCATCGGGTTCTACGATGGCCATCCCCTGCTGGAGCTGCAGCCCAATGGCCAGCTGAGCCTCAACATCGGCCCATCCTTTGTGCACATCTTCGATAGCATGGGCAGCAGCAAGCACAACAGGAAGATCGGCTTGCTGGACCTGAAGCTGAAATGCCGCATCTTCGGCTCCTTTGGGGATGCAGAACTCGAGCCCATCTCCGCGCGCATGGACATCGTGGTCTCGGATTCTACTTGTTGGGTCCAGGAGAAGATGCCATATCGAAATATCAGGCGTTGGCACGGCGTGAACAGCCATGCCGAATGCCAGAACACTTGCAGGAATACGGCGAGCTGCTCTCACTACCGCTACATTCGGCGCGGCGCTGGCAGTGCCAATGCCTACTGCTACGACACCAAGCGAGACGAGACCAGAAGCACCGCCACCGTGTGGTCCAAAGTTCCAGATTGCAATCCCATGAATACCTGCGTCAAAGTGGATGCACCGACCTGGCTGGAGCGAGGCATTTACTGCCCCGTGGGCTACGACATTGACCGTCAGAGCATGACGTACCTCAAGGATGGAAAGACTCCAAAGGAGACGATCTATCTGCGCCGGTACAAGGCTGGTGTTGACCGAACAGTGGATGGCTGCAACAGCGGCGGATGGTTGCTGCAAGAAAAGGACGCGAACGACTTCGTGAGCTTGTCTAAAGGAGTTTTCGAGTTCTCCGGACCTCTTGTCGGCTGCAAGGTGAAGGGGGTGAGCTACACCGGCCTTCCTTGCGAGCAGCCGGGAAACATCACGGAGGAGGGAGCTGACATGCAGCCGATTATCTTGGACGACCCGAACACAGAGGATCCTGCCGACTTCTGGCTCCATCCGTGCGATTGTGCGAGCAAGATGTGGGGCGACAAACCGCCAGTGGATCCCCAGGTTTTCGCGCAGATGCCGCCTGAGTCTCCTGACGAGTTTGTTCCGTCCCCAATGCTGATCGTGGAAGGACAGTTCGTCTGTCCCCCCGGCTACATGCTCGGGGATGGGCCCCTTTTCGAGAGCGACATCGAGTCCATGGAGGTCGGAGACTGTGAGATTAGATGCAAGAACAATGACGACTGCCACTTCTTCTGGCACGGTTCGCAGCATTCTGCGAACACCTGCCGGTTGTACTCGAGATGTGACAATCTTCTACGTGAGCCCGGTGTGGAGGGCGTGCTGAAAGCAGTGCCTCGTTCGCCCGTGTGCCTCGTGAACAACCCCGAGATGTGCTGGACCAAATCGATGCGACGCTACGCTCTGACTAGTCAGCAGCCACCCGGCGAGTTCCAGTTCCTGTACTGGACTCTGCATGCCCAATGCGACTACATGCTCTTGCTCGGAGGCTGGGGAGTCAGCGCGTGCACACGCCCGTCCCACCGCACCCTCAAAAGCCATCGGTGGAAGCATAAGAGGCTTTTGCCTGAAGAGTTCGCTCACGGCACGAGGCTGAAGGCCACATGCTGGAACGAGCGCTACAAGGGGATCCGCTTGGGGATCCGTGGCGATGAGGTGGCCACCTGCGTAAGCGGCAGCTGGTTCAGTTCGAGCAATCTGCCCGGCTTCGGCGACTTTTCCTGCGTCGGCTGTGTGCAGGTCGGCACGAGTGGATTCGGCGATGTAGAAGCCAAGCGGCAGCAGGAGCTCTACTACTTCAACAAGCTTGCGCTGTCGATACACAGTGAGGTCAATCCTATCGCCGATGCAAAGGTGAATTGCATGGAGCCGGTACGCCCCAAGGCGGGTCAGGAGACCTCGCTTCCCAAGGACCTGAAGAAGGTGCACACTTTCGACCTCAAAGGGCACGACTTCACGATCATCAACGATGTGATTGGCGACCAAACGCTATGGGCCAACAACGAGGCTTCGAAGAACAAGTATACTTACCAGAGCTTGCCGGAGGCTTTGGCGGCTTGTGCCGCAGATAGCGACTGCTGGTTTGTGTCGCGGTCCGAGGGAACGAAGGTGGGCCTCGCACTTCGACGGTTCGACTTGCGGAAAGGGAACACGGTCCGGTTCGTTGGTGCCAAGACCTGGGTGAAGTCCCTCGCAAATCCTTGCATCGGCAACTGTGCCGCCCTGCGGCCGGTGAAGTGTGGCCCTGGCGTCAGCGCCTGTGGCAGATCCCTTGTCGATGGCCGCAAGGCAGGATCCTTGTGGGGAGTATCTCCTCATGCGCGCTCCCACCACTGCCACCAGAAGAAGTGGGTCCAGATCGACCTCGGATCAATCAAGGCGTTTGATCAGGTGAAGGTATTTGGCTATGCAGATGGGCGCAGATACTGTGGCCACTCTATCCTGGTGTCCAACAACGAGAAAGACTGGAAACACGTGTATGCGAACAACGGTTGGAAAGCGCGTGAGCATGGCAAAGGTAACACCTTCAACCTTGGCTCGCAAGTCGGTCGTTATGTGCGCGTGTATGCCAGCAGGAGTACCTCCAATATTGGCATCCACCTCCTCGAGGTTGAGATCTACCGAGCGGCAGTGCATCAGCCAAAGCTACCCGGGTCCCACTGGATCACCGACCAGCACGTGAAAGAGCTGCGGGCCAAGGCCAGGAAGCCTTCGGTTCTCCAGGATGGCTTGGTCATGTACTACTACTACGGTCAGTCGCACTGCAATGTCCCCGACCTCGGCAAACTGACACCCGAACACTACGTGATTGTGCCGAAGGTGTCTGGGTTTCCCGGAATCCGTCAACATGATCATTTCTGCGTCAGGTGCATTGGATTCGTGAACATCAGGAAAAGAGGCCATTACTATTTCTACACGTCCTCAGACGATGGCTCCTTGCTGTACTTAAACGGGCATCTGATCGTCAACAACAACGGCTGTCATGCAAACCAGCAGCGGGGGAGTACCCGGCGCTGGCTAGAAAAAGGAAGGCACCGCTTGGTGGCGGACATGTGCGAAAACGCTTGGGGTCAGTACTTCGAGGTGAGATATAAAGGACCGGACTCTGGCAATCGCGTGATCGCGATACCGCGATCTGCCCTGAAGTATGAGAAGGCTGCCACGGAGGTGGAGCTGAAGGACGGTGCGGAGTGTAATTACTATTACGGCCGGCACGATTGCAACGTACCGAACCTTGACAATCTGAACCCGTCCCATATCGTGACCGTGCCAGAGATCTATATGAGCCAGAGCAAATTCACTGAAATCAATCAGGCCGACAACTTTTGTGCCAGGTGCACTGCCCAGGTTGCCATCACGAAAGAGGGGCACTACAAGTTCACGACTGCATCGGATGACGGCTCTCTCATGTACCTGAACGGGCAGCAGATCGTCGATAACAACGGCTGCCATCCCGAACAAGAGAGGACGAGCAGCAACCAGTGGCTCACGCCCGGCTACCACCTGGTGCAAGTGGACATGTGCGAAAACAAATATGGTGAGGCGCTGAAGCTGCGATATCAGGGGCCTGACACCGGCAACCGCAAAGTCAAGGTTTCGAAGTCGGTCCTGAAGCACGAGAAGGCAGGATTAGAGTGCAAATACTTCTATCACCGGCATCACTGTTGGCTCCCAGATCTCGGCCGCCTGCACGCTCATCACACTGTTACCGTGCCGGACATTTGGATGGACCATGGCAAGTTCCCTGCCCATCGTCACCGCGACGCCTTCTGCATGAGGTGCAGTGGCTACCTGGTCATCAGGAGGGCGGGCCACTATCGGTTTTCGACCTCCTCTGACGACGGCTCCTTCCTGTTCATCAGCGGACACAAGGTCGTCGACAACAACGGCTGCCACGGCACACAGGAGCGCCAAAGCACCTGGAGATGGCTCCACGCAGGAAAGCACAGGTTCACCGCCGACATGTGTGAAAAGGGGGGTGGAGAGTCGTTCAAGGTGATGTACCAGGGACCGGACACTGGCAACCGCAAGATCAAGATTCCGAAAGAGTCGCTGCTCAAACCTGGAACGGCCACCAACACCAAGTCGTTCCAGGCACTGGACACAGTGATTGCAGACTTCCGACAGCACGGCACGCTGAAAAGCGGCAAAATTGTCTTCAGCAAGCACTCAGAGAAGATAACCTGCAAAATCTTTTGCGATGATGTTCTGGTGCATGAGGAGTACCACAATCACATCGGTCACAGAGACCGCGAGGTGAGCATCCCAGAGATCTGCAAGGGGGCCCGCAAAGTCAAGCTCCAAGGAGGTGCCGCTAACGGAGGAACTTGCGGCTTCAAGAGCAACAAGTTGGAGTTGTTCAAGTTCATGCCGACAAGGACCCTGACGAAAAGTCAAGTGAGCACCATCAAGGACAGGGCGGCCTCCTGCCGTGCTCGCTACTCGGCAAGCGGCCAAGTGACAATCAAGTTGGACGATTACGGGGAGATTGCGCCTGGCAACAAGGTGAACTTTGGCCGCCATGTTCGTTCCAAATGCGAGGTCCACTGCAATGGGAAGAAGCAGACGGTCTACAGCGGCCGACGGCGCCACAGGCATCGGCAGACTTTCGATGTCTCCAAAGGGTGCATCGGTGCAACGACCATGGTCCTTAAGGGTGGTGGGAAGTGCGGCGGTTGCCAGATTGACAAAGGACACCTGAAGGTCTCTCCCTATCCGACGCACCCCTCGGAGGTGATGATCCCGGCGAAGAAGATCGTTGCCTGGTTCAAGAGTGAGGACGCAGGACCTACCTGGCGAAGCAGCGTCGGCAAGTTCACCGCATCGGCTCGGCGACGGAATGGAGTGGTCGCCTACAAAGCCCGCGGTTATGGAGCCAAGACTCCTATCCGCTACATCCAAGGCCATACCGGCCATCATTTCGACTTCGGGAGGGTTTTGCAGGATCACTACACGGTTTGCTCCGTGACCCGCTACCTCTCTGCTGGCTCAACAGGGCGAATCCTGACAGGCAGCAAAAGCAACTTCCTCCACGGGCATCACGCAGCAGGGGTTGGCCTGGCCTATGCAAATGGCTGGCAGACTCCGACGGGCCTTCGCAAGAAGAGCACCAAGTGGCTCACAATGTGTTCTTCCCCCGGTGCCAAGTACGTCTTCGTGGACGGTGTTGACGTTGGCACCCACAAGACAGATTCTTATGTGGACCAGCACCTCGAGATCAACGGTCGCCTCTGGCCCAAGGAAAAATCGGACTGGGCTGTCGCAGAGCTGATCACCTGGAATTATATCCTCACCAGGGAACAGATGAAGGAGGCATCCACGTATCTAATGAAGAAGTTGATGGTGGGAGGTGAGATGGATGCGTGCAAGGTCATCCTGAAGCAGCCGGAGCACTGGAGGGATTGGCGGGGCAGCTACAACAAGCAGGTCCTGAATCGTTTACGGTTGCACAAGTCGACGAAACGCGTTGACTTGGCCCTGGATTCCACGTCTGGTTGGTGTTCTTCCTCGAACGGCGGACACCAGTGGGTGGAAATCGACCTGCGAGCAACGGAGAAGGTAATGGGCATCATCATCCAAACCTTCCACAAGTCGGATGACTATGTCTTTGCTTTCAAAGTTCAGTACAAAGCATCAGACAAAGGCAGCTGGAGAACGATCCCGAACCGCTTCACGGGTATGTCGCACAAGACTGAGGATCACGTGCGAGCATACTTCGCGGAGGCCGTGGAAGCCAGGTTTGTGCGTCTTACCAGCTTCTGGTGGCACAGGAACATCTGTCTTCGAGCTGCAGTGATGCTCTGCAAGACGCACTTGGAAAACGAGGTGAATCTGCTCCAAGCAAAGACGTGTCCAACGAACTACAACAGCGAGTCCTGGAGTGAGTCGGATTCGGGTAGCAGGCACCTGCGAATCGGTGGCTCGCCGGATTGCCTGCGCGTGACACAAACAAAGAAGCGGATGGCCCTTCTTTCCGCAACTTGTGACGGGGACGATGTCCACCAGATGATCCCTTCGTCGGATATCGGCTACCTTTTCACGATGCTCCATCGGAACAGCTGGCTCCAGGACAATGTGCTTCTGCCGGGCATCAAAGCGGAGTACTTCTACAACCTGAAAGCGGACCATTGCGTGATTCCAGATCTCATGTGGCGTGCACCTGACAAGGTGGAAGTTTTACCGAAGCTAGACTTCTGGAAGAAGACCAGCTGGTCAGGCCTCAAGCACAACGACAAGTTCTCGGCCAGGATGAGTGGTGTGCTAATGATCAATGAGCCAGGTTGGTACGAATTCTGGCTCTGGGCGGACGACTCTTCCCGCATCTTCCTAAATCACAGAGAGATCGGGAGCCTCGGCGGCTGCGGTGCCACGCGCCACAGGTACGTCAAGCGGAAGCTGACCATGGGGAGCTGGCCAGTTGAGGTCCAGTTCTACGAATCCGTGGGGGAGGCTTCCCTGCGCTTGGAGTACCGAGGGCCGGACACGCACAAGAAGAAGAGGATTGTGCCGGGGACTGCTTTCGCCCACATGGCGGATAAGACGCAGTGGATGCCGACCTCTGCAATTGCACGCGGCTGTATTGGAAACACTGCCCTGGGCTCCTTGCAACCGGACATGTTCCTCGTCAGCGACTTGGCCAAAGGAGTTCCAGTGGACTGCCGCTTCGTGCCCCTGCTCTCGAAGGAGCTACCTGTTCAGATTGCGACGACACGCTCTTTCAAGGACAACAGCTGGCCTCTGTGGTGGGAGGATCTCGAGAGCTGGGAGATGGCTTGTCCTGAAGGTAAGGTGCTCCAGTCCTTGGACATGCTGAATGTGAATAACAAGCTTCAGGTCAAGTACACCTGCGCCACAGCATCGGGTCTCGGACAGTGCTACCCAAGTTGGACGGACCAGCAAGATGCGCACGAATTCAAGGATTCTGTCCTGTCGAAGAGCATCTTGAAGCGCTTGCACATCGTCTGCCCACAGCACGACCTGCTGAGTGCCGTCCACTTCGAATACTCCGAAGGAGGCTTGTGGGCGCGCTTCAAGTACGTGTGCTGCAAAGAAGCAGGTGCTCCAGTCGCCATGGTGTCAAAAGGACCGGACCATGCCCGAGTGAATCGCCTTGAGGGCACTTACTGCCCGGAGAAGGTTGGTTCCTCTGGCCGCTTGGACTACATCCAGAAAGCGTGGGGTAGCTGGCAGACCAAGAAGCTCGCGAAGTTGACTTTCAGCGAGGTCTCGGGCAAGTGGTGCATTGGAAGTGATTGTTCGAGCCCGGGCGACAACGTGGAGCCGATGGGCTTGCAGCTCGGCGGCTTCGATGCCACAGACGTCAGCGACTTCGACGGGAAGTTCGAGGCGAAGGGCGTGAAGCCCAACACTGGAGGCCTCCTGGGCCAATCGCCGGTGCCCAAGCTGAAGCCTCCACCACCTCCCAGGCGGCCGAAGGCTCCCAAAAAGCCCAAACTGGAGACCTTCGAGCCGGAGATGCCCAAGTACTCGGACAAGTGCGTCGGGTACGGAGACTTGTGGAAGAAGGTCCAGGAGACGACCGTGAATGAGGCCGGAGAGGAGGAGTCCAATGCAGAGGAGCTGGAAACCGAAGAGGAATCACAAAGCGGATACAAAGCTATGCATCCTTGCGACCTGGCGGCTGCCTACGGCGGGGTCCGGAGCAAGTGGGGCGGAGGCGATGGCAAAGCAATCCCGAAGCCAATGCCCTACAACGAGCTGATGGGTTGCCTGGACCGAGATGGCGCCGTGTCCTTTAAGGGCCAGGAGATCATCCGGCATCTGGGCTTCATCATCGAAGGCATGAACCTTCCTGCAGCCATTGCCTCGACGACGTGCACCTTGGCGCCGGAGATCCTCACAGCTCCAATGGGCTTCGGAGCAAGCGCCGACTTGGCCGATATTTGCAAGGGCATCGTCCACTCAGTGACTGCGGGCGTCAAGCTTCTCAAGTACGCAGGATCGGAGATCCTCCGGAGCCAAATCAATAAAGCTGCCGCGGCAGACTGCGCCGCCACCCAGGCGAATTTCGCGCGAATGTTCTGTGATGTTCATTGCGTCCGGGATGCGGTGATCCGAGGTGACAGGACCATCCTCCGCAATCTGAAGAAAGCCACAGACATCACTAATGGCAACGCTGAGAAGCTGGCTGAGTGGATTGTCAAAACCCAGCAGCTTGACGTCTCTTGGCTGGCGGAGAAGATTGACCACCAATCCGTGGTGCAGAGCTTAGAGTCCAACAAGCAGTTCACCAACATCAAAGAGCTGCTCAACGGTGGAGACAAGAAGGAGTTGTTCCTTGCGATCAAGCAACAGACAATCAAGCTGCAATCGGAGCTCCGCGGCTATGTCGATGGAGCATCCTTTGGCAAGGCATCGCTACTTGCAGCCAGCGATGCCCTGGAGAAGTTCAACGGCAACAGCAAGTCCGTCCTCCAAGATGGCAACAGCACCGAGCAAGTCTTCGGGGCCTTCGACAGCTTGGTGTCCCTGAGAGCCAAACTTCGGACCGCCTCAGATCAACGCAGCAGGGTGGACCACATCGCAATGTCCGTGACGCAAGGCGCCCGTCAGATGCAAGAGCAGCTGAAGCTGCAGCGCGCGACGCTGGGTATCTACAGGGAGAATGGGAACCGCACGCTTCAGGCAGCACGTCAGAGGTCCAGCTTGGCCACCTCTGAGCGCCACGCGATGGTTCTGGACCTGGATCGCATTTGGTGGAAAATCCGTGGAGCTGTGGATTCCTATGTCGATGAGGCAGAGAACGAAATCAACAGTTTCGAGTCCGGATCACAAGCAATGGCGAACTACCAGCAATGCTCCATGGACTTCGCCAGCCTCCTTTCCGTCTACAGGCACACCATGGCGGTCACCGACACCTCCCACAGGGCCCTCAAGAAGACTTGGCGGCTGTGTTCGAATCTCATTGGCGAGTTGGCATCCCACTTGGATGACGGCGAGGCGTTCGTCACCTTCCTCCAGCAGGAAGGCTGTGCGTCCCCTTTGGCCTTCCAGACCCTGGAGCAGGTTCGTGACGTCATGGGCAGCTTGAGGATGCTTTACCATCGCTTCGCCGTATCGGGCCTGGCTTCACCAGAACTCAGCTTCGTGGAGTCCACGGTAGATCGGATCAAGAAGACCTGGTCAAGTGCACAAGCAGTTGTTTGCAATCGGACCGCACAGCTTCCGATTTGGTACTTCATGCCTGTGGACACGGAGAAAGCCCTCGAGCAGCTGGAAGTGATGCGGCCGTAGTCATGTGGGTTTTCCCGGTAGTAGCGTTTAGACAGAACGTGTGAATCTGTGCCAGTGCGAGTGTGCGGTCGAAACATCTGCTTCACGAGCACGTCGCTTGCTTGAAACCTTTTGCTTGCCTTGTCCTGATTGCGATGTTATTTTGTACGTGGTTTGTTCAAGATCCCCCTTCAGCTGGTTTGTAGTTCCCGGTAGGCGGCCATCACCGCGACGGCATCGTGCAGCGGCGTGGAGGAAGATGCCACAAAACGCCCAAACGATTGTAAACGCTCCAACGTCCGTCAAAAGCTCCCTCAACCAGACCAACTGCATGAACGGCTGCGGCAAGTTCTGCCATCGCAATCGGTGGGGCAGCGGCCAGGGATTCTGCGACAAGTCGCCAGCGGGCGTGGCCGGAAGTGAGCTAGCCAGACTGGGGCTGCCGCGGGACAGAGGCGCCCAGCGGCGTGTTGGGCGAGGTACCAAGCAACGTGGCCACGTGAACCGCCTGACAGCCGTCGTGTCATCCTCGCTTTGTGGCGGTGTCATGCCTTGTAGGGTGTGGTCAGCACTACACGCAAAGTTTTCTGACGGCTCGTATTCTTGGAAGCCTTCCGCTGCAACTGTGGAGGCCCTGGGGTGGAGGCCTCTCCATCTTTCACTCCGCAATACCTATCGCAGTGCCATGAGGAAACAATCCGCAGCAAGTGTTTTTCCTGTGCATGGGTGCATCACTTCTGGGCCGCCTGCCGCTCCGGACTGGCGGACTGCGATGACGAGAACGGCTCCAGGGGGCGCACGCAAGGTGCGAGTGGTCTACATGAGAGCCGAAGTAGTGGACGCAACCACCCACTTGTTGAGTCCCTCCGCGTTGCAACGGCACCGTCTGCTCGGAAAAATGCCCGCAGTTCCCGGTGTCCGCGCCAAATGCGGCAAACCGACCTACGTGAGTTTGGCGCTTCTAACTGCAAATCGCTTGTGGTCGCCGGACGGCGCCGAACACGCTGCTTTTCATGGCGCATGCGGTGGATTGTGCATGCTTGCAGGAGCCATGGGCGGCGGTAGGAGCGCTTTTGCTTGTTGAACAACCATACCGGTACGAGGGTCCTATGGGCATTAGCGGCAGCAGGGTTTCGAATTCATCAGTCGTCTGTCTCGTGGTCGCTTGAGGTGAATACATCATCTCATCGCATTCGGTGCATCGGCTGAGACGGATCCGGCTCTATTGCTGTGAAGTAGCTCGTTTGGACCAAAAGCTTCGCCAATGGGGACGTCGCTGGCTGCGCTGGCCCAGCGGTGCACCGAATGCTGCAGTTCTGGGTGAATTCGGCTGGTTGCCTTATGTGTCTGAAGTGCATTCGGACGCCTGGCTATTGCTGATGCCCCTGGTGCTCGTCGCAGCCTGGCAGCACGTGTCTTCAACTTTGCTTTGCAGCGCCAGGGTTCGTGGGCGCATGGTGTTTCGCAAGGATTGCGGGATGCTGGTATACCATTCCCTAGTTTATGGAGCCTGCTGCCTGGCGGGGATGCAAGGCAGGTAGCGCATTGGAGGCGGCATGCCATGCGACCGGATACTGTGGGGCATTGATGCCAATCCGTCCCTCGCAGACCATGCTGTGTTTCAGCCTCGTTTGCACGGTGGCAACAACATGCATTCCTCGCGGCTCCCGTCGTCCTTGCTTCGGGAGTCGACGTTAGTACGTTGTGGCCATCATCCTTTTCAGGATGGCAGCATGGCTCGGCATGCTCAGCTGTCTCCGTGGTGGTCTGCATGCCATTCGCATGTGTCCGCTGTTTGACACTCAGCGCAACACTTGGTTGGAACGCTTCGTGGTGGCCGAGATGCCGAAGGTGCCCTCGGAGATCTTCGGGTGTGCTCCGTAGAGGCGTTCTGTCAGAGCAATGTCACAAAATTGTGTTCAACCCTTGCGAGGACTGTGTGACCTTCGCATGCCCTTCGGGCTCCCAGCCGAAGGCCGGAAGAGAAGGAACGCAAACAAGCTTTCAAAGACAGGCAGGTGCTTGTCGACATCCTCAAGCGAGGGCTGCGCCATTTGGGGTGGTGACCCCGCCCTGCCCTGCCCAATACATTCCCTGCGAACGGACGGGTGCGTCGCTGCGCAGCTCCATTTCCGTGCAGCACCGTGCTCTCCTCCAGCTGCTCCCTAGCATACATGACCTGCAAGTCTCGTGGCTGCTGGTGTTGTTTGTGCGTCTCCTTGCGTGCACTGGTGTTTTCGGTTGATCCCACCTGCACTAACGTTTGTGTTCGCTGCCGCACATGGCCGAGACATTTTGCGCTGCCTCGCCCAGTTGTTCCACGTTGTTCCCGGCGATATAGGATGCCGACCGCCTGCCCCAATCCGCGGCCGCGCGTGCCAATTTGTGTTTGCCCATGCTTGCGCCATGGCGGACTTGGTCCCCGCAGTGCGCCTGAGAACGCGCATGCGGCCTACTGTGCATCCTGGGCTGACTCGCTTGCGGCACTCTGAGTCCATGAGCCTGACTCCTGTCACGTCGTCGCTCGCTTGCTTGCTGACGCAGCATCTGTCCCCTCACTCCCCCGCTGCTTGCGCTCGCCTAATGCCGTCCACTTTCTGGCTTCCAACCTCCTGCCTTCGGCGACTTGCCACCGAACCCCCCTGTTGTCCCTGCAGATTCTGACGGGCCTGTCGACCCTCCTTCCCTTTCCCTGCTGGAGTCTCAATGTGGACCGTTCGCTTCGAGGGTTCTCACTGCCTTGCCTTCTGCCACGAGCTCACCTTAGACTCACCTGTTTTCTGAGCTTTGTTGCTCCGCCGGCTTCGCTTGCAGTCGCTTGCCTTGCCGCTCGACACCGCAGCCTGTCGCTGCCGCCGTCGCGTCGACGCTCTCGGTGACCACCGCGCCGCTTGCCCCTTTCTGGCATCTTGCGCTCCCGCGGCCTCCCACTCGAGCGTGCTGCCGGCCGTGTTTGCCGCGAGGCTGGGGCTACAGTTGCCTGCAACGTTCTGGTGCGCGACCTCAACATCCACCCCGAGCGCCTCGATGATCGCCGCATCGAGGTCATCGCAAATGGACTCCTGCTTTGGGGCGGAGCGCAATTTGCTGTTTATACCACCTTTGTTTCCTTTCTTCATGCCAGTGGAGCTTCGCGCCGGCACGAGCGCCGCTCTTCGCCTTGCACGCAGGGCTGAGGAACGCACCTACCGCGAGCTGCTGCGCTCGCAGAGGTGCCGGGGTGGCTGCTGGAGTTCCGAGTCTTCCCGGTTCGTTCGCCTCCTCGCTCGGTACCGGGCCCGTGCTGTGCCTCGACCGTTGCGGCCAACAACCATTGCTGCCTTCACTTCCCGTTGGTCCACCTTGCTCTTCTTCTCTGCCGCCAGAGCTTTCGGTGCCAGTCTTCTTGGTTTTTGCCCCCCCGGCACCGCCATTGTTGATGGCGACCAACCCTCGACTCGCTTCGACGAAGCCCCGCCTGTTGCCAGCCGTTTCTCCCCGGCACCAGTGAGCTACCCGGGCGTGGAGGAGGACGCTCACCTCGGAAAAAACGGCGTGTAGTTGCAGTCTCTCCTTCGTGCTCAGGGACCGCCGAACTCCAGTCGCCAAAAGGTCCGTTGAGAAAGGATTTAAGGCTGTATGCCAAGACGTGGCGTGAGCTTGATGTCATGCTGTCGTCATTGAAAGCTGAGTTGACTTTAGTTAACCTTAGTTGGCATAACGTTAAATGCAGCGAAGATGCGCTCTTCCACAATTGTCACGTCGCCAGAGATTTCTTTGATTGACGTTGACGGTGACATGATTCCAGTTTTAAGCAACAACGACAGACAGAAGTCATCGCATCAGTGGTGCACAATCAACAAAATGAGGCATATATTCGGGAAAAAGCATTTGTCCACCAAGTGCAGCTTGCGGCACGGTTCGGACTTTCTGCATTGGCACTGACGTCACGCCAACATGAACAGCTTGATGTATGCTAACGGAACATGTTGCGTTGCATTGCTCGGGTATCGTTTGCTTTCCAGCAACGTCCAGTATCATCCAGTGTCTGTTGGGTTCACTGCCCATCATGCCAATCAGCACCGGCTCGTGATGAACCTGACTGTGAGAAATGCTTGGCCATTCTGTGCAGCAACCTGGAGCCCCGCGTCCCAGCACAATTTCAACAGTGAACCAACGTGACGCCCAGGTCGCCTTCCCAAACGATTTGATGATGAATTGAACAAATTTGTAAGGTCGCATTTTCCTGGTCATAATCCTGGTTTGATGTAGCATATCTACCATGTGCCTTCAATGCGAAATGGTTTTGTGGAGCTGCCTACGACCCCACACAACTAGTACGACACCCACCATGGACCATTGTCCCTTCTCCTGAAGAGACCGTAGCCCTCGGGTTTCGACCGAGCAAAACGAGAGGTGCGAAGTGCACATTCGCCGCCTCCCGGCTATAGAGCGCTGGCAGCTCAGGCCTCGTGCCGGCTTTCTGTAGTTCTGCGTCCGGATATCGCCATGCAGGAACCACAAAATTGCTTGTAAACGAAATTAACAATATGTGCTAGCCAGTATACGCCGCAACACCATGTAGCAGCGATCGCGGAGGGTCCCGGCTGGGGCTGGGACAGTCCGTTGAATTTGTCTAGGATAGTTGCCGAGCTTGCTGGACTTGTTCAAGCGGGCGTCGAACCCAGCCTGTCAGGCCTTGCGCAGCAAGTTTTGCCGTTGGCCATGTGTCATGTTTGCTTACTAATTTCTGCTGATTTTCAGAGCTGTAAATAGCCGGTTTCATATACATTGTCACAGAACTCAAGTTCAATGCTTGCCGTAATATTGACAGAGACAGTGATGAAAATCTTCCGTTCATAATGCCACCTCCACTTCGTGTAGCATGGGTTGGCGATGCAGAAGAGCCGCAGGCTGGGGAGTTGGAACACGTTGTGGAACGTGTCGCCGAAACTCGCAAACAGGAGCATGCATGTCACCGGACTTTGCTCGATGCCCAGGGCGTTTTGATCCATTTCTTTGATGCTCATATTCTGGTGGGC